ATGGAGAAGGATGTCAAGGAGTATGTGGCCGCCTGCACCATCTGCGCCAGGAATAAGACCTCTTCCAGGCCCCAGATGGGTCTGCTCAGGCCGCTGCCTATCCCCAGTCGGCCCTGGTCCGACATCTCAGTGGATTTTGTCACCGGACTGCCAGAATCCAAAGGTAACACCACCGTCCTCACGGTGGTGGATAGATTCTCTAAAATGACACATTTTATTGCTTTGCCTAAACTGCCATCGGCCAAAGAAACGGCTGAAGTGTTGTTGCACCATGTTTGTCGTCTCCACGGTTTTCCCAAGGACATCGTGTCAGACCGGGGTCCTCAGTTTGTCTCCCGTTTCTGGAGGGAGTTTTGCAGCCTCATCGGGGCCTCTGTCAGCCTCTCTTCCGGTTACCATCCCCAATCAAATGGACAAACGGAGAGACTGAATCAAGAACTGGAAACCTGCCTCCGGTGCCTGGTGTCCCAAAACCCAGCTTCTTGGAGTAAACACCTCACGTGGGTAGAATACGCCCACAACTCATTGCCTACCTCTGCCACCGGATTGACCCCGTTCCAGTGCGTCTACGGTTACCAACCTCCCATGTTCTCAGAGACAGAGAAAGAAGTCATGGTTCCCTCGGCACACGCACTGGTCAGGCGCTGTCATGGCATTTGGGCTTCAGCACGTCGGGTCCTCCTTAGGACTTCGGCCCGCATGAAAAAAGCGGCTGATCGGCATCGCCGTCCTGCACCTGTGTACAGACCGGGTCAGAAAGTGTGGCTATCCACCAGAGACTTGCCCCTGAACGTAGTCTCTAGGAAGCTGGCACCAAGATTTGTAGGCCCATTCACTGTGGAAAAGTGTATTAACCCTGTGTCTGTTCGTTTGCGCCTGCCTAGATCACTCAGAGTCCATCCAACATTCCACGTAAGCAAACTCAAGCCGGTCAAGGAAAGCAAAATGGTTCCCGCTTCCAAGCCCCCCCCTCCTCCCAGGCTCATTGATGGAGGTCTGGTCTACACTGTCAAGCGTCTGCTGAAGGTCAGAAAACGAGGAAGGGGTCAGCAGTTTTTAGTGGACTGGGAGGGTTATGGACCGGAAGAGCGGGAATGGATCCCGTCTAGCTTCATCGTGGACCAGAACCTGATAAAGGATTTTTACAAAAGCCATCCTGAACTCGCTGGGCCGTCCGGAGCCGTCCGTAAAGGAGGGGGTACTGTGGTGTCTAGACAGTTGTGTTAAGTTAATTTATTTAGTTCAGTCCTTTTGTCTTTTGCCTTGTCTTGTGATTTCCTGTTTTATTTTGTAGTAACCTTTCCCTCTCGTTTCAGAGCATTCCTGCCCTGGTGTGTTTTTCCCACCAGTGTGATTGTCAGCCCCTCCCTTAATTGTTGCCACCTGTGTCCCCTTACCTAGTGTGTATATATAGTCTGCGTCTCCCTTTGTCTTGTGTCAGTTCGTCTTGTCTCGTCAAGCCTGCCAGTCATCCCTTGATCGTGTGAAGTATATTTTTGATAGTCATGTAGATGTTTTTTGGTTTAGAGTTTTTGATCCTCCAAGTGAGCGTTTTGTATTTGACCTTAATTAAAAGACCTTGTTAATTCTAATCTGTTTCTGGTGTTGTGCATTTGGGTCCTGAGCCTCGTGACATTCTTAACACCCCTTCGCCTCCTGCTTTCAACTCAGGACCAAGCTTAACCTTCTCCCTTCCAACCGGACCTAACCACTTATCACCACCACCAGTGTCTAGACCCAGGGGGGTTAATCGGAAACGGTTCTTCCCTTCCCGATTGTTATCCTACAAAACCTGGGCCTAATCGCCAAAACACCATTTCATTCACTTGTTATAAACTGTCATTATGTTTCATTTATATAATGTGACCGATAATAAATATGTATTCCATACATCACGTCTCTCCTGATTGAACTGGTATTTTTACTCCACTGCATTTATTTGAGTTACTTTGCAGATTCTGATTAATTATGTGAAATATAAAAAACCTTAAATCAGACTTTAGTTACACCTGAGTAAAATTCAGGTAAGGTGATTGTCAAGTGCCAACAATCAGGAGAGATATTTGATAGTTGGTGCTTGAGAAGACTAAACATGTATCTGCAATTGACATGAATGGAAACGAGTAATAAAGTATATTCATTACTTGTTGTTCTCTACTAATAGTTGATTAAAGACTGTATATTATGGCTATTTTGCACATCCCTTTCAAGATTTTCAAAGGTTTATTGACATATCATATACACAACTACGGTGTAGTTATGCAATGAATGAAACACTTGGGTCACAGGTTCCTCAACAAGACATCTATCAATATGTGTGTACCTCCACCATCAAACTCATATTCTGCAAATGTCTTATTCTATCTACATACATAAGAGTATAATTCATATGTATAATATCAGTTAAAAATAAGTGCTTCAACATAATTAACATTGCAGGAAAGCAATATATTAGACGTTAAGTACTTTGTCAGGCTTAATATGTATCTGTAGATAGATACCCCCAAAGTGTTTTTCTTATTTAAAAGAAGACCATAATCTGTTATTTAATGTTTAAATAAAGGTTAATTCGTTTTTCTGTTTTGCACCTCCTCCTATTAATATCTTTGTACATTCTGCACTAAACTGTTTTATTGTAGAGATCACTTGGAGTATCTTCTTGATTTTTTACTTTCTATATTTATACTTTCCCACTATGAAAGTATGTACTCTTAATATTTTTTTATATTTTTTTTAATCAAATATAACAATAATTCAATAACGTGCTTTAACCACTAGGAGGTGCACACAAGGTACACACAGCCATAATAACTTTGTATTATAAATGTAGGACACTTATGTTTTCGTACATCTGAAGATGTGTAGTTTTATGCATGCTTTCACATAATTTTACAGCATATTGCTATACTATTTCAGACTCAGTATTTACATTCTTACATTCAAAGAAAATCAGTAATATCTTTAAAAACTACAGTCCTTTTATATCAGCTGTGCACCGTTATGGTGTAAATATAACCTATCTGTGAATTAGATCAAATGTAAAAGTCAGCCGAATTAGTGTTGATACTGCGAGGAGACGTATTGTGTGAAGATAAATTGAAGATGTTTAATTGTTGAATATATTTATGATCCACGTCAAGTATTCAGTTTCGGCGGCATTTTCTCAGTTTTTCCAAAGGTCTTCTCATCAGGGCTCTATAAATAAAGAACTACGGCAGATCTGTAATATACAATGCAGCCGAACCGTGTATTACAATGCTGTTATGTGATGACTTTCAAAGAGAAAAGCAAGAGCGCTCGGAATTAAGTATTATTTTATTCTTTTAAAATGTTTTCCGGATTTCATATCATATAAACACCAAATCCCAGCATGCATTGCGGCTAAAACATCCAATAAGCGAGCTTAAAACCATAGCTGAGGATCTTGGGTAAATCGCTCGAAATGCCTACGTCGGTTTCCGGTTATTTTTATTTTGAAATTCAGTTCCTGACGGACGCCAAAAAAAAACGAGATTATGGAATTAAACCAATAAATAAAAGCAAGGATAATTGTGTGTTATTGGTGAGTAAATAACAGTGTGTTATTTTGAAAAGAATAACAAATTAGAAGGAACAAAATATTTAAAAAATACAGATTTCAGTATCCTGAGGCTCTGAGCCCCATTTATTTTCCTCACAGACGGCAACAAAAGTCCGAAATTATACGATTTCAAATAAAAGCAATAACTGTGGCTTGATATTGAGTAAGAACATGTTTTTATGAACCACACAGCTTCCGGTCTCCCACGACCCGACTGGAGAAAAAGACGTGCTGCAGGCAGTAGAAATACATTGCTTTTAAAATCGTGCTGTGCAACACGAAAAAAAAAGGGGCAAATCGTGTTGGTGAACACGAATCAATAGATTAAAAATCGTGTTGGTGAACACGAAATGCCGTGAGACTGGGTTGCACAGGCAGCTGAATTGCCGTGGAGTAGAAGTACAAAGAAGCATACAATGCAAATACTCAGGTAAAGTACTTGAGTATTTGTACTTAGTTACTTCCTCTCTGTAACTAGGCCTATGTACATTTACACACTGAATTGTGTGCCTCCCTGAGTGCATATTTGAGATACATGGTACATTCCTACTTCACATATATTTGATGTACTTGTTACAGTAGGTTAGGTGTAGTTACTTTGCAGATTCAGGGCTGTATCAAGGTTTTTTTGTAATAACTACTTTGGTAAAGTAAACTGATATATTAATACATATTTAAATAAATAAAATATGAAACCAGAAATAATCGTCTTCCGATTTGTATGTGTAATTTATACAGGTAATGTTCAATGATTTTTTCTGTATACAAAAGAAAGTCCCCACAAGAAAGTCTACACACATTTTATTCTACTGCAGGTGTATAGAAATACCCCCCAACAATTGCAGACCTCAACAAGATACATATTATGCACAAATACCTACTGTATGTTACATCTAAAAAAAAAAGAAAATGTATTTTTGTTTTTTTATTGAACTTCTCTCCTCAACAATACGGTAGTAACCGCTTCGGATACAGGGAACTTCTGGACCATTCACATGTTTGCGACAAATCTTTATAAGGAGTTGTTACAATAACATGGAGTTCCTGCCATTAAAAGCTAACTCAAAGGTCATGTCTCAACCGTCATTTGGGAAACATGTTGGGAAATGCCACGCACCTGAAGCTAAACTTAAAGGTTAACCATTCCAGTAAACAGGTTCTTTGTCTCTTTTACAGGATGTGTGTGACTTGATTATCCAAACACATGAGCTTATTATTTAGTGGATCGCTAATCTTCTATCAGCTTGAGCCATAAATCAATTACATGTTAGAATCTAATGTATTTATACCTGATTTGTTGGCATTCCACATCATTTCAAAGGAAAACTTTTAAATCCACTTTACATTTGACAAAGTTACAAGTAACCATTTGTGCTGGTTCCAATACAAATAATACAAAATGTAATTAACAAAGAAAGGATTATGTATGAAGTAAAAAAAATACTTTATTGAACACAAGAGGGGAGATCACAAGCTACCCAGAAGTACATCTACAAGTACAAACAAATATATTTTAGCAACAGCAATTGATTACACATTATAATTATAATCCAGTGATATAATATACATTATTCTAAATGCAAAATGCTGCATAATGACTACATTTACTTTGGTATGATGAGTATATTATGATGCTAATGCATTTGTATTTTTTTTTAATGCAAAACGTTGAATATGATACTTGTATTGAATCAAACATACTATTTGTTTTGCTACTCTTACTCTAGTAAAGGATGTGAGTTCTGCTTCACACACTGATAGTGAGGACATTGTTAAAATACAAGTTAAAATCAGCCATGGAAATGCATGTTTTGACAGAACCAAACAGGATTTAACTAATTTATTATTATTATTTATACGTTACTGTCCTGATTTAGTTTATCAATACAACATATACATACCATATTTAATGATCATATATTATTATAGGTTTAGCTATACAGAATCATATAAAGTAATTCAAATTACCCCCTCCTTTACCAAGTTAACTTAAAGGTGGGGTAGGTAATTTTGGAGAAACCAGCTCGAGTGCGCTATAATTTGAAAATACACAGCCGGAAAAAATCTGCCCCTTCCTTCAGACTTCCTCACAGAGCCCCTCCTCCAACACACACGAACGCGCACATGACCAATGAGGACACGAGATAAGTTTGTGCACAGATGGAAGGCTGACAGGCAGGTAGGCCATCCAGTTATTTTAGCCAGGCCGGCTAAAATGATTGGTCGTGCTTTTTACAGTACTACGGCTTCCACAGATGACATCTTCTAATGTATTTATTGTCAAAGCATTTCATATATTCATTGCTATCGGGATATTAAGAGCATTCTATGGAATATAACAAAAAGTGTTTCTGAAATAAATTACATACCCCACCTTTAATACTAATATTATTGCATCAATAATTATAATACAACACATACAAATATGTGGTGCCTAAAAGGACCATTCTGCATAACTATGAATTGTACTTTTGGTGCTTTAAGTATATTTTTATGCTAATACTTTAGATTTTTACTCGTAGTTGAGTAATTGCTGCTTTTACTTAAGTTAAAACATTGAGTACATCTTCTACTGTTCCTCTGATTGAAGGTAACAATATCCCACATTGAGGGCATTATCATGTTGGCTGATATTTAGCTTGAGTGCTGTTTTTCAGGTTTGCTGATATAATCTCCTAATCAAATGGGATCAATGAAAAGTGAATGGAAGTAAGAGAACAGTCAGCTTTAATACAGGAAATCTTTTGAGCATCCAGTTTGAGTGTATCCATCTTTCAAAAAAACAATATCATAATACATGCGGACTCTCTGGGGGGGGTCAGTTTAATGTGAGGCTCTTTATCTGCGAGAGGCTGTTCGCACATGTTTGGCAGGAGGCTTGTTTGGGGTTCTTGATACACTGAAGGATCATCAGGGTCCTGTGGACAAATGTGATTTGTGTTACCCCAGGGTTGCATCAGGAAGTTGGTTATCAAGCCAAAAAGAACATCTGTATGTGAGTCATACTTAATCTATAGATCCACCTCTGTTTGCCTATACATCTGTGTGTATGTGTCGTATTACAACATACTGTATTTGGTTATTTAATTTGAAGCACTATTTGTACGTCACTTACTCCTCGTTGTCTGTGCAAGTCCAGCGGAACCCTCTGGACTGGAGGATCTGGATCAGGTCTACAATGGATCCTTCACTACATGACTCTCTGTACAGGAGAAAACAAGGAACTTAATCTGTCCATATACATATTAACCACCCTATTATTAGTCACTATAAAGCTGTAATTAATGGGGAATTTAATGGCTGATAATGATACTTTATGACTGATTATAAACCATTAAATAAGAATGACTCATGGATTTCTGAAAAATCCCTCTTACAGATTAATTCTTTTTGGTTATGATCCAAGTTGTTCAAGATAGTGAATTTATGGATATTGGAAATCTATTTATAGATATTTGTATGTTTATTTTAAAGAGAACAGACAAACATTGCTCTTGAAATGACCTACTTTAGTTAGTCATAAATTACAATTTACAAACATTTGATAAAGGGTGACCTATTGGAAAGTGGTCTTGCTGTAACTTAGTAACTTTTATATTATTCATTGTTTTATATTATTATAGAAACTATCAGCTGTTTTTTTTTCTTACATAAAAAGTCCATCTAGATTGGTCACCACTTTTATGTTAACGTAATCCACCCGGCATGCGTTCAGACTCTCCAGTTCAACACTCCCAAACATGCTGCAAGAGAAATAAAACATTATTATTCTGAACGTACTCAACAAAAAGCATCGCTAAAATATTTGCTTTCGTTGTTTCTTTTCACCTTTTCCTACTGAACGCGTTGACAATAGACCCATTCAGTAACACGGTGATGTTTCCACATGCCATTTCTGCAAACTAACAAGCGAGTGAAGAAAGCTGCATGAGAGAAATGAATCCACTGCGGTATATTGCATATATGAATAACAAATGAGACAGATACACTGGTAGTTTGGACATTACACTCACATTTTGTGAGGCTTGCCTCCACAAGGAATACACTGGATGATTCCTACAGGCCGACCACTCCGGACAAGAACTGAAATCAAAACCTGTGTGTCAAATTCACAGCCATCAGTTTAAATATGTATCACCACCTTAACCAATTCAAAATAAGATATGACTGATAATAAGACCTGCACGTGTATGTGTTGTTTTGACATGCCACCACATGTAGTTAATCACTTAGCACTACGACTGTAATAAAAAAATAAAAGCATGAGGAAACAATTTTGAGCCCTGAACGATGAGGTTTGAATCTTGGTGCTATACCAAATGATCTGTTTCAGATATAAAAAAAGCTAAAATAAAGAGTTTTTATGCTAATAATATTTGTAAAGTATGGTTAAGGAAATACAGTTGTATATCAGTTATAGTTTCGATACAAATAAAATGCTATAAATTTTAAAGATGCATTAGCTGACTTTTTGGCAAACTGGTAGAAGAAATGTTTAAACACCGAAACATTTTTAACTCTTAAGTTGAAATGGCAAACTTGTTAGCAAATCGTAGCTTTTTTACAAACGTAAGAAAAGCTGTTATTCATACATTTAAGTCCAGTGTTCCCTCTCTTTTAGCTCTGGGTTTGGTCTCTACCATCTCCTGAGGGAAATATATGACTTGTTAGGGGGCTAAATGCTTCAATGTGTCACCAGCTATTTGCTTACTTTGTTTGTGTGTTGTTTGCTGCTGAGTAGGTACTGTACACTGGGGTTTTAGATATTTTGCACTAAAGTTTCTCTACATAACGGTGCATGTTTTAAAACCAAAACAATGAGCTGAAAGGCACTATCATGCTCTTTAAAGCTGAGGGGAAGCAGAGTAATTGTTATTATGAGTGGCCCCTTACAGTTCATGTCTTAATTTGACACATTTTTTTAATATAAAAGTATAGCTTAGAGCAGCTATAATAATATCATAGTATTTTTAAGTTCTGCACTTTAGGGAACAGGAAATGTTGGATTATGATTAAGTTATAGCAGAGTTTTCATTGTGTGTTCAAATGTTGGTATTTGTAAATGTTCATGAAGAGAGAATCCCTTTTCTTGCTATGTTAGAGTTGCCTTTGTCTTGATAAAACTAGAACAGGTTTACCGGACTCTTCCTCTTGTCCACACCAGATGAGGTCATTGAACATGTAGCCAACCAGCGTGTCCTCCAGGGTCCAGTAGTGAGGGACAACAGCTGCGTAGATGTGCATCAGTGTCCTGGTTTTACTCCAGAAGAGGAACTAAACAGAAGAAAAAGGAACTATATAATCAGCTTAACACAAATATCCGCCATCTAACGAGGTATCAATGAAAAATGATCGAGATGAATTCAATTTTGGAGCACTTCCTTACCCTATCGCAGGGCCAGGTTTGTGCCATTGCATAGAACATGTGATTATAGTCCTCCACAGTGACATTACAAGAGGACTGACGGACAACCGCCTCCTCAAACTGTCTCCAGATCTCCTCACAGTCCAACCTACAGTACACATAAAGATTGGTCAACTATCACAAATGACAAAAGATTAATCTGCAAATATTTCAAAAATAGTAATTGATAAATTGTTACACTTGGTTTATAAAGCAGAGAGTGGCACATTTTGTTCTTCTATCTTTTTAATATGAAGTTTCTCTAATTTTTTGAGATAATAATGTTTATATGGATTAATTGGGAAGATTTTTTTCGCAGCCCTTGGGGGTGTCATTGCTTTGCAAATCATCGCTATGTTTCAATCAACTTCCAAAGAAAGCCGTAATGTGTTCTTTACTAAATTGAATGACATTTCAAAATTGACAGCAAAACACTGCACCTTTTGTAATCCAAAAGAAGCAATAACTGAAACTGCAGATCAAATGACATAAGCATTTTCCCAAGTAAACTAAGTAAATATGACCTGACCTAACAACAACAAACCCAGCTTTGTTGCACAAGCTCACATTTCCAATGAAATGAAACGTCTTTTCACATTTCTTTCTACAGAAGCATCATTCAACATCACATCAAAACAAGTGTTGCTGCCCTTCATGTGGGCTTTGATGCAGGATTGATTATTTGTACTAACTTTATACCAACATAGAAGCTTTGGAAGGTATTTCATGTTGTAAAGGCTTCGGTCAAAAGGTCATTTAATTCAAGTGCATGCATGATTATAAATACAATATGAGTCTTTGTACTTTACATTACCTTAGACTGGGGTTAACTAGTGTGATGTAATTGAAACACCGTCCCACCACAATGTGTTTAATGTTGGGGGTAGTCCCCAGCTGGGCTTTCAGTGGACCGGAGCAGAGTAGAAACATAATGAACCCTTTGAAAATGGACACAAAGATGGAAGAAATAATACGTTATCTTTCATATTTAGGAGGGGCACATCAATAGAAAGAAAGACATGAATGACTTACATGGCCTGCTGATCATTAAAACGGCTGCAGATATTGTAAAGGAGCTCATGGTGTTGGGTCTTCAGTTTGTGTTTGCACATTAAATCCACCTTAAAGATCAACAGCAAAAAAAAACAATTTTCACTCATTTCCTACAGGCAAGCAGAAAGAAAAGTTTTTGCCTTGTGGCTGAATGAAAACTAATGTTGCGTGCGGAAAACTTCTTCCCACGTTTTTCTTTTCATCTGGTGCCGTCAAACCTGGCAGCTTGTCAAATACCCTCGAGGAAGTTTTGACTTAATATTGGCTGACATTTAAAATACAACAACAGTATTGCATATCAGGGATACACACACATAATATAAATCTTTTCAATGACAGTTGTTAACACATCATAGCAAGTCAATAAGCAGGTATACATGCCAAGTTTATACTTCAGTGTCCTCACCATTTCCGATGCGGAAGGTTAAATCGGACCACGCGGCTTCATGGTTGGGATGGTAAAAGCTTGCTCAAGACAAATCTTTGCAGGGCTAAAGTCTCACATGCCCTCAGAGATGTCCATTCAGGACAGATGACGTGTTTTTTTCTCCAACCTTCTGTTGAGTGGATCCACATGACTGGCGTTATAGTACCAATAAGAATCTCCCCACACAGAGTGTTCGCTGTTCTTCATGGCATGGTGTGGTGGGCTGGAGGAAAAAGTTAATATTGCTCACTGCGATATTTGAAACACTGAATTATTATTTTTTTGACTCAATTTAAAGAGGACATATGCTCATTTTCAGGATCATATTTGTATGTTGTGCCTCTACTGTGACTTGTGTACATGCTTTACAGTTCAAAAAGTGCTTTATATTTCTCATACTGCACCTCTTTTCACCCTCTGTCTGAAACCAGAGCCCAGTCTGCTCTGATTGGTTAGCTGTCTGGCTCTGTTTTGATTGGTCAACAGTGTAGGAAATGTCGCGCCCCTTAGCCTATCATGTGAATGTTACATAGTGATGTCATCATGTTATGGAAGAAAACAAATTAATACAAGAGTTGTCAGGTACGGGGGGTGTGTGTGTGAGAAAATCTTAAATAAAAACATTAAATAAAATAGTTGTATATAGCTCAATGATAATGATTACAAATGTGCCTCAGGGGACTTTAAATGCCTATTGCATCTTATTAGTACGTAATGAGACAATCAAAGAGAAGGTGCTAATTGGAAAGTGTCAGCATGCTCTGAAACAAGATAGTAAACATAAACTATAAAAGGACATCTGTAATATATCAGCATGTTAGCTTGTCATTTTGAGCATGTTAAAATACACTGGTTAGCATGTCGGAAGAGTCATTTTCACATTTAACAAAATGTGACATTAGCGAGGTGAGAATACATTTCATTTTTACCAAAGAGACAATTGAACTGTCAAACCAGGTGATATACAGTGTTTGGCTGTGAGGGGACTGCATCTGTTATATCTGACATAACCATCTACTGCAGGGCTTCTCAACTCCGGACCAAGGACCGAACTGCAAATCAATCTGGACCGAACCCGGTGTCCCATTAAAATAAAATAAAAATAATTTCTGATTCTGATGTAAATTAAAGTGGACCTATTAGCTATATTGGAAAAATATATTGTAGGGCCATACCAAACATGTCTGTGAATTTTGTTTGCTTAAAATACCAAACAGTTCACCCATTGTAGCCATGCCTCTTACTGCTCATACCCCTCTTTTGCAGCCCTGTTAGAGAAACGTGGATTTTGGGTCCTTAGCTTAAAAAAAAAGAAAAGAGGAGGCGGAGCTAATGCCTGATCAGAATTCTACCGGAGATCAAGTTAAATTATGCTGTGATAAAACGCCATCCTGCTTTTTAAACACATGTGCTACAGTACAGGTTAGCTCTGAGTGTTAGCGAGGCTTGCTAATGTAAACAAAGACGAGATTACATCCAAAACACGTCAGGCATTGTTTCTGATAGCAACTTTCTGTGGGATCGCTGCCGATTTGACGTCAGATTGGCAGCAAATTTGTATCCGCTCGTTGTACCCCTGTTTTTAAAAGATTTGGGTACGGAGGGAAAGAGAGAGGGTTTTATTTTCTGACGCTGCGTGAGTTCCCCGACGCACCGGGGACACATATTTATGTATAAAAGACATCACAAAGTGCATTTTGCATGATAGGTCCCCTTTAATGTATATTTTCTTGTGTCTGACACGCTGTGAGAATGAACGTGCATATATATTTACTTGTGTGCGCGAGCGTGACACGCATTGCAGACCGCAAGTTAACCGCAAGTTTATCTTGACTTTCTAATGCTTCTAATGCCATTTTTGACGAGGTTCAAGGCATTGGCTACAGAAAAACAGTACCATTTCTCCCACTAGTTCAAGCCATCATACTGTATGTATTGAATGTGTGTGTGTATACAGGGGCACTGTTTACCGAACCAGAAGGGGGCCCCCCAAATAAAGTAGATTAATCCAATCCAACTTTATTTATATAGCACTTTAAAACCTCCAGACCAAAGTGCTGTACAGAGAGATACATAACATATAAAATCACACAGCTCAGCTCACAAAACATTAAATTAATTAATTAATTTAAAATAAAAGATACAAACACAAAACAAACCAGAATAAACGTAACAATTTAAATTTTTTTTTAAAAAAACATTAAAAAAGATTAAGGTCCACAGCAACGACAACATGAAACACCCTTTAATTTACTACAACGATATGTTGGGAAACCCCATACATAGCACGCCGAAACTGCTTCTTTTAATTTCAGTTTCGTTGGTCCGCTCCGGGGGGTGGTGGGTGGGGGGGGGGGGCATTGATCCGGACCATTGACCTTGTATAAAATTCACAAGTGGACCTTTAACAAAAAAGTACCCCTGATCTACTGTCTTAATGATCAAGATTATTTCAGATTGTTGCTGCTGAATTGTGAGTAAAATGATTTATTTACTGTCAAGAGAATCAGATTAACCAACACTCATCCACTCATCCCATGTTTGGCACCAAATATTCTGAACATGTGATCCTTAATATACTTGTCCTAAAATGTATAATAATATTTCTCCAGGCTAGACAAATGTGAATTTAAAGTATGCCTTACTGTTGCCAGACTTCACATTACATTACATGTTACTTGTTAGACGCTTAAGCCATATAAGCGATTTATATACTCAATACTGCGGACAATCCCCACAGGAGCAATTTGGGGTGAAGTGTCTTGCCCAGGGACACAACGACATGCTGACTGCAGTGGGGTTTGAACCTGTGCTCCCCTGCTCCGAACACCAGCACACTAGTCCACTGCACCACACGCCTCTTAACTGCTTGTGATGAATTAGAATGTCTCTGACCTCTTTGTGAGATAAAGGCCGTCTGAGTTGAATCTGTAAAACAGTATGGATGACACGATGCCCTCGTGTTTTAAAAGCTAATTGCGTTATTAGCGCTGTGTACAGGAGAACAGAGCGTCTCCACAGGACTGCCCGGGCTTATTGACGTAAAACGCCCTAAGGTTAATAACCAAATACAGCCTCAGATAAAAGAAAGCCAACATCTGATCCAAAGCCTGAAGCAATCGTACATACGTTATGCACTGTTTCATTGACTAACTGAAATATAGTCATAGGCTTTTAGGAACATTTGCTGTGATAAATACTTCCCCATAATGTATAGTATGCATACATAAAGATTTGCCACATCAGGCCTTTAGGGGAAGTTTATGAATCATTAACTCAATTAAAAGGAAGCCTAATATTAATAATCGAAACACTACTTCCTTTCGTGGAACTATTTGATGTCTGTACAAAGTTTCAACGTAACCCAAATAATTTCCACAGACATTTCAAAAATATCCACGGTTCAAATATTGATATCTTTGCTTTCTGATAACCCTTGTGCCCAAGGGTTCTTTTTCTCAGTTGCACTTTGTATTCATAAACTTTCACACATTTATAAAAACAACAGTGGATATGTTGTGTCTCTTCCCCCCCCTCCTTTTCACTGTAATTTAGGGTGATTTTACTTGATCAATTTGATACTCTTTTGATGAGAGGGGCTTTTGTTTTAGGAGATGTAGTCTAAAGGTACAAGTCACTGAGGCCCAAAATGGTGTCTCATAAAAGTTTAAGAAACCAGCAGCAACAAACGAAACACTGAGATGGTTAAGGAATTGCAGGAAAGCATTATATTCGTATTTTTCCTGTGAGGACTTTTGTGGATTGTTAGTCTGAATAGGAATTGCACATACAATACTTATTTTGTAAATTAAGCTGTGTTAAGGTAAATGGGAACAGGTTTTGATATGTATTACAGGTTTAAACATGTTTTGACATCTATTAATGTCAACACAAACATCCAAAATTGCCTGCAGCAACAATAGTCTCACAAAAAGCATGGCTTTACAGTAGTAGTGCTCATTTCATACAGTGCAACTGCTGCCACCTACTGGACTAAAGAAGGTTTGTATGCATATCATAATTTCTCTCTTCTGGTGTTGGAATAGCATTTGACTGAAGATAGACATTTATTTATTTAGTCCCCTCTGACTTTACACTTGAAGATACAAATTGAACTAAACATCTAAAAACAAGTTATGCTAAAGCTTAGAAACAGGAAGTGCTCAAACGTTTGTGTGAGTTTATCAAATTTAGCAGTGATTCCATGTCAGCCACAGCTTGTCACAAAAAATCTTACTGATAGTGTATGTACCAAACTTAAACTAGCTTTATTAAATGTCAGGTCTCTGGCAGGAAAAACATTTTTAATCAATGATTTTATCACTGAGCACAATCTTGATTTTATGTTTTTAACGGAAACTTGGATTGAACAAAATAACAGTGCAGCTGTTCTTATTGAATCAACCCCTCCCAACTTTAGTTTTATCAGTCAGGAAAGAATGCATAAGAAAGGGGGTGGAGTTGCTATTTTGTTCAATGATTCCATTCAATGCAGGAAGACATCTTATGGGAACTTTGCTTCTTTTGAATATGTGGCCCTTCAGCTGAAATGCTCCTCTCGAGCTCTGTTCCTAAATATCTATAGACCACCCAAATACTGTGCAAGCTTTTTTGATGACTTTACCGAACTGCTGTCTATAGTGTGTATTGACTTTGACCGTCTAGTCATTGTTGGTGATTTTAACATCCATGTTGACAACCCCCAGGACAGAGGGGCTAAAGAACTGTTTTGTGTTCTTGATAACTATGGACTGACTCAGCATGTGACGGAGCCCACGCACAATAAGGGGCACACTCTGGACTTAATTATCTCAAAGGGTCTGAATATCTCTAAGGTTGTGGTGACTGATGTTGCACTCTCTGACCATTCCTGTGTTTTCTTTGAGAGCTCTATTTCTGTTCACAAAAATGTTCAAAAAGAGGTAACCACAAAGCGATATTTCACTGAAAACACTAGGGAAATGTTTACTCAGAATTTCTCTTCCACACTTGCCCCTGCTAACATCTCAGTAAATGAGCTAGTAGATCATTTTAATTCAAAAATTAAAAATGTTATAGATGCCATTGCTCCAACTGGTAAAGGAAGTGACTGGGAAGAAAATATCTCCATGGAGAAAGGCCATGACCGTGAGAGCAGAAAAAAAGAGAGTGTCGAAAAGCTGAACGTAGGTGGCGAAAAAACAAATCTCCAGGTTCACTTTGAAATCTATAAAGAGAGACTTGGCCTTTATAATTTGGAATTGAAAAACGCACGACAATCGTTCTTCTCTGACATCATTACCAAAAACAAAAACAATGCACGTGCCTTGTTTGCTACCGTCGACAGACTAACTAACCCCCCAGTGTCAGCAGCCTCTGAATTTCTATCCACCAGTGCATGCAATGAATTTGCCTCCTTCTTCACTGACAAAATTCAGAAAATCAGACAAGCAGTCAGTGCCTCTGCATCAGGTACAGCAAATGTGTTGTCCCTATGTCCACCTAATATCAATTCAAACACCATGACACAATTCCATCAGATTAATGATAAAAACCTAGAGGACATTATTCAACTTCTGAAATCCTCCTCTTGCTGCCTTGATATTATTCCAACAGGATTTTTCAAAGATGTTTTTCGTTGCATGGCCTCAGATCTACTTCATATAGTAAACAAATCTCTTCACTCAAGTATTTTTCCACAGGCCCTGAAAACTGCAGTCATTAAACCGCTCTTAAAAAGAATAATCTAGATGCTTCAGTAATGAACAATTACAGGCCCATATCAAACCTCCCATTTCTAGGTAAAATCATTGAAAAAGTTGTTTTTCAACAGTTGAGTAATTTCTTGCATTTAAATAGTTGTTTCGATGTGTTCCAGTCAGGCTTTCGTCCAAACCACAGCACTGAGACTGCTCTTGTAAAGGTCTTCAATGACATCCACTTAAACAAAGACAGTGGCAGAACTTCAGTGTTAGTATTATTAGATCTCAGTGCTGCGTTTGACACTGTTGACCACAACATATTACTCGACCGACTAGAAAACTGGGTGGGACTTTCGGAAACAGTTCTAAATTGGTTTGAATCCTACTTAAAGGACAGAAAAAACTTTGTTTCTATAGGTAAATACACATCTGAGTTGACAAATATGACATGTGGGGTACCTCAAGGCTCCATCTTGGGGCCTCTTCTCTTTAAAATCTACATGCTACCACTGGCTCAGATAATGAATAAAAATAAAATAAGTTACCATAGCTATGCGGATGACACACAATTTACATAACAATTTCACCAGGAGACTATGCTCCAATTCAAACACTGAGTAAGTGCATTGAACAAATCAATGACTGGATGTGTCAGAACTTTCTCCAATTAAACCAAGATAAAACTGAGGTAATGGTTTTTGGAGCCAAGGCAGAACGTATAAAAGTTAGCGCTGAGCTTCAGTCTGCAATGTTCAAAACAACAGATAAAGCCAGAAATCTAGGTGTAGTCATGGACTCTGACCTGAATTTCAACAGTCACATTAAAACATTTACTAAATCCGGCTACTATCACCTAAAGAATATATCTAGGATTAAAAGACTAATGTCACAGCAGGATTTGGAAAAACTTGTCCATGCTTTTATCTTCAGTAGACTGGACTACTGTAATGGTGTCTTTACAGGTCTCACTAAAAAATATATTAGAAAGCTGCAGCTAATTCAGAACGCTGCTGCTCGAGTCATCACTAACACTAAGAAAGTGGATCACATCACTCCTGTTCTGAAGTCTTTACACTGGCTTCCTGTGTGTCAAAGAATAGATTTCAAAATACTGCTGCTGGTTTATAAAGCTTTGAATGGTTTAGGCCCAATATATATTTATTTATATATATAATTATGAACCATCCAGATCTCTCAGGTCTTCAGTGACTGGTCAGCTTTCTGTCCCCAGAGTCAGAACTAAACAAGGAAAAGCAGCGTTCAGTTATTATGCTCCAAATATCTGGAACAAACTCCCAGAAAACTGCAGATCCGCTACAACTCTGACTACTTTTAAATCCAGGCTGAAGACTTTTCTTTTTGCCGCTGCTTTTAATTGAAATATTTACATCTTAAACTGCACTGTAACTTTTATCCATGTATTTTTTCTTTTAATGTTTCTTTTATTATCTTTTCTTTTTAATGACTGATTTTAAATGCCATTTCTTAATGTCTTTCGTTTTTTTGTAAAGCACTTTGAATTGCCTTGTGTTGAAAGGTGCTATATAAATAAACTTGCCTTGCCTTGCATAAAGAGTTGTTATTTGTAATGGCTCAACTGTTTTGAACTTTATCTACATTGGCAAACATTTGCAGTAAAGACTTCTGCCGGTGACTGCTATACATAGACAAGCAGCCACGTTTTTGTATCCTATTAATATAATTATTTTATTCTGTATTTATTTCAACATACTGCATATTCTTTTAAAATAAATAAACAGCTATAACTACTGTTGATAAACATGCAGCACTGTTTTATAATGTGCTTTAACAGTAAATATTAAAATTCCCTTCCCAAAACTAAAATAAATATATATATTTTTCATGAAACCTGCATTGAAGATTTCATTCATAAATCAGATGACAACGTTTAGGAAGATAAATAGTACAATAAAATATAAGATAAGATTAGATTAGATAAGCACTAGGGGATTTGGTGTGCAGCAGTTGCAGTACAAATAAAAAATAAATATTACACGAAATATAAATACTGACACTTGGGGAATAAACCATTACTTCCTCTTTTGCTTACAACAGGATACACCATGACAGCCTTATATCCAATGAGAGCGGAGACTTTACATCAGCGGCACAGGTTGACCAATGACAGCAGGAGTTTCTTTTAGTCCCGCCCTCCATGAAGCTAGCTTGTAAAAAGTAAAAACTGTCAAGTGAAGTCAGTCCGTCCGGAGGTGGGTTGAGTTAGCTTACTTTCGTAGCTTGTGTACCTTAATGTTAGGCATTATTTAGCTGCCTGGTTATACCGTTCATGTGTACGTTTGCATTGGTTTGTAGCCGTAGTTGTCATTATGCTCAGCGACAGTTTAATCGTGTAAAAGCTAACTAGCATTCTCAGCTAATTCAGCTAACTACAACATTCCCAGAAGTATATAAGATTAACTTGCTTTTAATTATTTGTTTGCAGCCAGTAGCTCATCGGGTCTATATGTAACTGTTACTTTGAATGTAAACCAACATTCAGTCTCATTTTTTCAACAGGAAGTTAAAGTTATAAACTGTAACGGGATTATATACTCTTCATCACCAATCAACATGAGTGATCCTTGGCAAGAGTGCATGGACCACTGTGTGGAGGTCACCAAAAAGGCTGGGCAGGTGAGTGAACACTACTGATGTATGTTATAATAAACATAGTGTTACAATATACTCATGTGAAGTACATTATATATAACAGCTGTAAGAAACAGGATAACTCATATTGACAAAGGTCGAGAGATGTGTAAAAATGGCTTTCAAGATGAAACAGAACTATAACTTTTTTCTTACAAAATGTCAACATAAAAGGTTGACTGATTGACACGCTGCATCGAGCTAACTTTTCAAAATAAGGTCTTAAAGTAAACTTTGTCATCCAACTATAATATATTGAGGCTTTCACTTATTCAGTTCCATCTGCAGTTTGAAGACTATTTAAAGAACAATGTGCATGATTCCTATAGTTACACTAATTTGTAAGACCAGAATTTGGAGCGTTCACCTCTTCATCTCTGACCCATCATTGTTGCCACAGTATAAAACCATAACAGAAAACTCATTAGGCTTGATTAAAGTTCCAGATGTAGTCAGCCATCCAAATCATCCCCTCCTGAGTCGGTCATTGTTGTGGTTCTGCCAGGTGATCCGAGAGGCGCTGCAGAAGGACATCACCGTCATGCAGAAGAGCTCACCGGTTGACCTGGTGACCGAGACAGACCAGAGAGTGGAACAGCTTATTATAGCCTCCATCAAGGAGAAGTACCCCGCTCACAGGTATTGGACTAAAGAGAGATGCAAGATGGTAAATGAATGCTTTGAAAGTACTGCAGGACATGGGAGACTGTATTTGTATTTGTATTTGTATACTTTTAAAGTTGGCTCCTAGTGTTCATGCTGCTTTTGTCTGTCCCATGGTATTTCATGTTGCAATTGACTCAATTTACTTAATTTGTTTGTAATTTGGATCATAGTTTTCACTCTGTGTTATACGGGCTTTTGTCTTGTTGTAGTTCACATGTCAGATTAATGAATGTAATGTAGTCTAGAATAAAATAAATCTGATGTTATGTGAGGAAAGAAAAGACCCAACAATGATAAAACCGCAACACATTTAAATTATAAGCATTTTATTATTTCAGTTAACTATTAATAAAAATACTTTAATTCTCTTGCACAGCCTTATCTGCACTATCCAAAATGCATTCTGGTTGGGAAGCACTGAATGCTTTTATTTATTTGTTGTTGTTGTTGTTTTTTTATTTTGTTTTTTTTAAATATACTTCATCTTTAAAGTTTGAAATTATCAAAATACCCACAAGGAACAATTCCAGATCTTCAACCTTCTCGAGAATGCTACATTGGAAAAAAATGACCTTGACTACAATGGAAACTGATCCTCATAATATATATATATATATTAATATATTTATTCTTACTTTATTATTTGCCCTACTCGTTTGTTTATTTGTAATGTAAAGCGGCCTTGGGTCATTTGAAAGGCACTTTAAAAAAACGTACTCTATTATTATTAGTAGTAGTAGTAGTAGTAGTAGTAGACAGGTAAATACAGCAATTATTAAGTGTAGTAGTATCTCTGATTTATTTACATCTGATGTAACAGCCTATTTGCATATCTTTTTTTCTGTCTGATTTTGAAGCTTCATAGGTGAGGAGTCAGTGGCAGCAGGAGCTCCCAGCGTTCTGACTGACGACCCCACTTGGATCATCGACCCGATCGATGGCACCACCAACTTTGTTCACAGGTACTGCCTGCTCTAATACTGTATAAACCATTCAGAGCTCCAATACGGCTGTGGATTTCTTTGATCTCTGCCGCTCCTTATCTATTTTTATCTTTTAATTAGCTTCTCTCTTGGGTTGGCCTCTCCGTCAGGGATAATTAGACGATGTAGATGAAACTAAACTGATAATAGACATTGATTCCGCTGAGCTTAAACCTAAAGGCAGTTCATTTAGGGATTGTTTTTGAACTGTTCATTTCTTTTGTGCAGGTTCCCATTTGTGTCTGTATCAATTGGCTTCACCGTGAAGAAAGAGGTGGGTTTGTAAATCACTTTTTTCTTTTGACTCTGTAACATTTTGATTAAAAGAAACATCAGCGTGGTAATTGCATCAATACCCTAGTGTAAGGCTGTTATATTTTCTATGCCTCTCTCCCTGCTGTTATTCTGCCTCAGATAGAGTTTGGGGTTGTCTACAGCTGCATAGAGGACAAAATGTACACCGCACGGAAAGGGAAAGGGGCATTCTGCAACGGAAAACCCATCAAAGTGTCTGGACAAGAAGGTAAATATTGATAATCATGTCACGTTGCAGTTTTCAATCATTCCACCAGGTGGAGGCAACATCACAGCCATAATATCTGCTAGTACCAACAGCTCTACAAAGTGGAACCACGCACCGTTGTTCTGCATATTCAGAGAAATAAATAGCTTTGTTGATATTTTTTGTGTTTCGTTCCAAGATATCAGCCGATCCATCGTACTGACAGAAATGAACTTCAGCGCGGATCCTGAGCGTTTCAATACAATGTTGGCTAACGTCAAGACCATCCTCACCATCCCTGTGCATGGGTAAATACACACCTGTGCAAATGTTATCTCTAGGATCTGGTTGATCTGGTGTTTCATGTACTTCAGCAAACTGTTATATAAGTCACTTCTTTAAAACTATGATTGTTATCATTACGTATCTTATTTCCTGTGCCTTCTAAAGATGCTGGTTTGCATGCGTGAACTACTTCCTTGTTCCCTTGTTTGTCTGGAAAGGCAGTCTAAAGTTAAATCTGCCACTAACAGTTTTCAATTCAATATAGTGGGGTCCCCTGCTAGCATAGTTGTTAAGCTCATGACCTACAACTGTTACATAATGACAATGTTTCAAAACTAGTAAATTGAAAGAAGTAATTAGAGTATACCAATTACAAATGTTTTACATATTGGTGTAAAATATGAGCATGTTAAGGATTATAGCTGAAAACATTCACATTGGATGGAAAAATAAAACAGTTTTCTGTGGAAAAACACCAACCTGCCTGCTTCTTCTATTTTGCCTCCATGGCCGCTCGGGCATTCTCACAAGTGGAGGTTATCAGTGTGTCTTGCGGAGTGAAATAAGAGCAAACATCACCTTTCCCTCCGCAGTATCCGCTCCCCGGGCAGTGCAGCTGTCAACATGTGTCTGGTAGCGTGTGGGTCGGCTGATGCTTATTACCACATGGGCATCCACTGCTGGGACATGGCGGGGGGGGCAGCCGTCGTCACCGAAGCTGGAGGAGTGATCATGGACATTTCAGGTGAGTCACTGAGAAGACTCGAGCTCCTTTTGCTCGTGAAGCAGCCAACATGGTGATTAAACGTTGCGAAAAGTGCTGAAGGAGATTTCTTTTACAGAACAAAGCGTGAACACAACGGACGTTATTAAAGTTCATGAATAATTCATCTGAACTAATTCTCCTTGTTATTGGTTTTCATCCCTCTTTCTGCTCATGAATGCCTAATACACATTTGTAAAAAGTGGGGAGCATTGCAGCTGATGGCTTTGTACTTAAAACAGGAAGCTGAGAAATGTGGTGTTAACTTTAGGCAACACTGCCAATGAGATTTAGGATGTTTTAGAAGCTGTTTGTCAAGTCAACCCTGCACAATTTACAATGGGGTTGCTATTGAATAAATAAGGAGATGGATAAATAACCTTCTGGGTTAACACATTCCCTTTCTATTTTGTATTTAAAAAGTAAGGAGTGGAGGAGTACATGTTGTTTTGGAGCATACTTATAGCGACATCTTCCCTCCAGCACAGTCTTTCGGACAACAACACAAGGTCATAACTCCCTGACCTGCTCTCACGCTAACAATGTGATCCTGCACAGGGTAGAATTCTAACATGAGTTGAAAGCTGATCCTGGAAAATCATCGCCCACGCCTTCACCATCTGATTTATAACACTTCCCCTTTTGGCTAGCCTAGTGCTCAGCAATAGTTTTTCTACCCACACAAGCATCAAAATGAATGCATTGTGTTTGTTTTCATTGATCTGCCGGAGCAATAAGCCAGATCTATGGAGGAGACAATATCCACTGGCATATACAGTAATATCCACTGGCATATACAGTAATATCCACTGGCATATACAGTACAGTATGTGCTCCACTGTTGTCATAATGACTAGCAGTGTTTTATTCTGTTTTTGACAAGTAATGAATTTAATCGTATTACTCAAGGGTGTAATCATCATTGACTTAAATAATACATTACCTGGTGAGCTTTGAGCAACAATAAGTAGAACACCAACAAAACATGGCAATTACTTGAAGATACGTTTTTTATGAGCAAACTGGAGTATATATAAACGGCAACATTATTCAATAAGGAATACCAATTCTAGAAATGTGATCCTCACGCCCTTAAAAATGTCAGGCCATTAGCTGCTGTATTCAGGTTAAAGCAAAACACATTCCAAATGTTCCAGTCTTTTACCAACAATTTGAATTTCAGAATGATACCAGTAATACTCATTATCTTCTCCTTGATCCAGGTGGAGCGTTTGATCTGATGTCTCGGAGGCTGATCATCGCCAGCAGCAGAGCCATAGCAGAGCGCATCGCTAAGGAGATAACAGAGTTTAACGTTGGCAGGGACGACACAGAAGGCTAGTGAAATCATTTCCATCACGTTCTTTACCAACTCTACGGCTACTTAACCACCCGACTGTCTGGTATTTAACAGTCGGGATTCCGTCTTCGCCTTAAGAGCCAAAATCATAAACTGACCTCTGAAGAACGACGCTTAAGACTTTCAGTTTCCTTTCTGCTTCCTTATAAGTCCATTCACACATTCAAACTTTTGTATTGTTTTTTTTGGACATTAATGAGTTTGCGACGATATAATTATCCTTATAGGTTTTATAGCCTTTTCTTGTTATTTCTATTTATTGATATGGACGATGCAGTCAGCAATAAATCATTGGTGAAGCACCGTTATACAGCACTGATGTTGTTATTAAATATCTAGGTGTTGACTAGGCAGGAATTTGAATATATTTGATGCTAGATTTGTTTACACAGCAGCACGTATATGAATATCAGAGTGTAGTACACCAAATACTGCGTGCATATATAACCACTGTACTGTGTCAAGCTTATACACAGTGATAATGTAGTGTTCATGAAAACGTGTGTTTTGTAAGTATCTTATGAAGGAAGACAATAAAAAACTATAAATATATCCTGTTCATGCCTTTATTTGCTGACACACGACATATAGATACATTCATATCATTAAAGCCCTGCAGAGACACATGCATCCTCATGCTAGCTATACTCATAAACTAAAGACTACTGATAGCAAATAAGTTAAACCCAAGTACGAACATTTGTTATGAAAAATGCTGAATTTCTTGACTTGGTGTCCACATTTTTACCCCTTCTAATTCCTAAATCAACCACCCCCAACACTAGATAGAATAAAATAACTCTTGGCAATACAAATCTGCCAAGACAGCTTCCCTTCTCTTTTCACTGTGAGGAAACCAACCTGCCACACCAGGCAATATCTCCTAAAATCTGATGTCAAGCTACAGCTGAGAAAAATCCCCCTGCGCTCAATCTCCGGCCCAGATCCTAAACACCTTCCTGACAGTGGTCTGTATATCAGACCATAAATAAATGTCTTTATTTGCTGCCGACCTAGAAAAATGATAAACTGTCTTTTCCTCCTTATACAATCTATAAAGTGGAAAACATGAAGAAAGAAAGTGGCAAACGGGGAAACCAAATAAATGGAAAACAGGCCTCTGACACTCTATAAAACACCAGGAAGAAAATACACAGTGACTGCTAGCGATTTGATTTAGTAGAGAGATAAAAGCATTCACAGTCATTACACCATGTAAAACTCTGCTGCATCTCCCCCTGCCCTTTTCACTCAGCGCTGCACATACTACGTGCAGAGTGCTGCTATGTCCCCCGGGCCGATGTGCTCTATGAAATATCCCCGAGTTTGGCTCTCCACGGACTGTTGTCTCCGTTTTTTTCCAGCTCGTGTTTGCTGATGACTAACAAATGGTTTTAAAACACTTTACTTGAGCAAACCCAGGTCTTATACTGCTGCGGCCCCCTACTTAGAAATCAATGGTCCATGTTAGTCTGCAGCGGGGGGTTCAGACGTAATCACTAGAGTTGGGAATGATTTCCACAGTCAGCCAGCTGAAAGCCTCCTCCGTCGACTCCACCTTAACAGCACCACCTGCTCACGTTGTCGGTTTCCTGCCTTTTAGTTTTGAATGTTTCTAAACTTGCCACAGAGTCGTTAACCGAGTCATTGTACTTTTATTTCCATGTGGCTGTTAGGAAGTACCAACAATTGTTCTTTGGGAACTGTTATCCTGCTACAACTACGAAATGTCTCCCTGGAGATTCGAGAGTTATGATCTCAGTTCATAACTCTCAAAGTTGTTCAGTTTTGTGTCTATTCCCAAAAATCGTTCTGTGCTTTGTCTTTGGCTTGATTTGCCATCCTATAATTATACATTAGTACTGGGCAATATATCTGTATTACATTGGTATTGTGATACAAGGCTAGATATCTTAGATTTTGGATGGTTTGAAAAGGCTGCATTACAGTAAAGTGATGTGATTTTTCTAAATTTCCCAGACAGTTCTAGCTGCTCTATTGAAAATCCACCTCACTTACAATCCTTTTTGTGAAAGCAAACAATGGTAAACCCAACAATATTGATTTTCAGGTACTTGATCAACAATCTTGATATTGATATTTTCTCCGTATTGCCCAGCCATACAGTACATACATTTATTCATTTTAGTCGAGCGTGCAGTGTAGTTATGTCAATATAGGTCGAAAAGTTGGGTCAACCACTTTGGTTCAAATTCAAATATCTGAATTTGATGATTTGTCATAATCTGTATCTGCTTCTGGAGATCCTCTTATATCTCTTATAGCAGCATTTTATTTTATTTTTTGGTAAAATAGCCAAACTAGTATCGGATACATTTGCATCACATTTGGAATAGCCATTCATGATCCCCACTGTTAATTCTTAGCTTCTCATATAGCGCCACCATTAGGCAGCGATGGCAAAAGTACACACATTCTTTACTGAAGTAGAAGTACAGATACTAGTGTGTAAAAATACTAAAAGTTGAAGTACTGACTAAACTTATTTACTCAAGTAAATGTATGGGCTTCGAAATGTACTTAAAGGGGACCTATCATGCAAAATGATAGGTCCCCTTTATACATGAATATGTGTCCCCGGTGTGTCAGGGAACTCACCAATGGCGCGTTTCCACTGCAGCGGGTAGCTCGCTTTGAGCGTGCCGAGCCGTGCGGGGCCCGTTTTTGGTTGCGTTTCCACTTGGCCTAGTTTTGGCCCGGGGCTACTTTTTCACCTTTTTTCTGGCCCGACTAAATCGTGGTTCTAGGGCCAGGAACAACCAGGCTGAGTCGGGCTGAGTATGCTAAACTAGAGAGAGAATCGCTGGCAAGGGGGCTACAACTACAACAAGATGAATTGTAATACACGTTTCAAAATGATGCCGAAGTAACAACATACTGATATCGGTTAGTAAAAACCATGAATTAATGCTTTGACAAGTCTGCAGACAGACGGCAGGCGAAAAACCCTTTTAAAATGCGTGCTTTCTAAATGTAGCTTGGCTAAGCTAACGTTATATATGCTCCGACCGTCCACAATCACAACAACGGCCTATACAGACATAAATAAACCAGCGACTGTATTCGCCATGACACAGGCAGTCTGTGGTTTGTACTTGTTTAACTTTTGTCTAGTTTCTGAACAGATATGAGGAGCTGTGAGCTCTGAGTGCTAAGAGCTAACGGCTGTGTTGTTTTTCTGGGGCTCTCATTGAAGATGACGTCAGGGCTCCGCCTACACTGCGTTACTATAGTAACTGCCCCAGTTCCTAAACTGTAATGGAAGCGCAGCATTAAAGTGAGCCGGGCCTAATAAGGCCTAACCAAACCGAGCGAGGCCGAGCGAGGCCTGCAGTGGAAACGCGCCATAAGTGTCAGAAAACACAACCCTCTCTCTTTTCCTCCGTACCCAAATCTCTGAAACGGCTGCAACGGATCTGATACAGATTTGAAATTGTTCTGACGTCTGAAACGGGGAGCTCCGCCTATATGGGCAACTGCACCTATCAGGGGAATGAGAGGTTGCCGTGGCATGGTAACAGCATGGTAACATGACGCTCATGCCCCGCCCCCCATTTGCCACAGAATCAGCCCTCGCAAAAACAGGGCGGGAATACAGCAAATAGAGCGAAATGAGGCATGGCTAAAATGCATGATCTGTGTGGTATTTTGAAAAAAAAACTTCACAGACATGTTTTATATAGGTATGGCCCTACAATATATTATTCAAATATAGCATGATAGGTCCACTTTAAGTAAAAAGTACCCATAACTACCAACCTCACTTTATATTAATAGAACACAGTTTTCATTGGTCCCTCTTCTTTAGAGAAGACCAGGAAATGATGGATACACGGATTGTGTTAAAATCAATAGACTCTAAATAATAATGATCACGCCACCAAACGCAGATTCAAACTAAAGTAACGAAAAATAAGTAGTGGAGTAAAGTACTGATACCAGAAAAAAGTACATAACGAAGTATTTGTACTCCACTACTTCCCACCTCTGCCATTAGGCCAAAGTTTCAGTTTGTCAAACACTTTTGTAACCAAATAAATTGCTAAATTCAAAAGAGACTAATAAAGGACCGTGCCAGGAAACATGACTGAGTCGCCCTGCTCATCTTTCAGGATGCACCGTTGACCTTCAGCCACATCAGCATGGTAGCAGGCCTCAGTTACAGATGTGATCTAGGGAAGCAAACATCCAAAACATCCGTCATCCTGAATAAATTATTCATAACCAGGACCTGCCAGAGAGACAGCAGGACTGATGTATTTGTTTTGCTTCTCCTATCACTTCTCCTCAGTCTGTCTGCACACATTTTACACTGCGCCTTATATTTAGTGCACAACAGGTAAAACAGGGTGACAACTGCTCTCCCGCTGTTCCCTGTAAAACAAAAACTTTCAACAGACGCCCTCTCCATGATACCACATACTGATCTGCTAAGTTCAGCAACAATGGTGATCTGTTTATTTTAGCAGGCACAACTTGTGATATCAGGGTCTCTCCAGGAACTTGTATAGCAGGATGAAAACGCTACATGTCAACAAAATTGATATTCCATGACGATGCATATCAGCTCGCTATGTTGCATCAAGACCTTTTAGATAGTTCAATATTTTTTACTCATCCTGTTTTTACAGGTAACTCAACACATTAATGTGAGTTATGTAAGGTGTGGCTGCGACAATAAACATCATGCCCGAAGGAGCCCCAGTAAATAAAAATAAAGACTGTTTCAGCTTTTTTACCTATAGGGTATATCGGCCTATGTAGAAGCTAATGCGTTATTGCTGTGTTTCTGTGATTCAGTGTCTTATCTCTTCAGTAAGAGATATCACCACTATCGTTTCACCATTTTAGGTTCAGCCCAGTAAAGAGCTAAAGAGGGATAATGTCATTTTCTTGAGACATGCAGCATTGCCCACTAATTGAACAATCCCTCTTGCAGCAAGGTTTGACTTCCTGCAAGGCAACTTGGTGTTTTAAGAGAAGTAGCTCGAAGATCTTAGAGAACAGTACTCCTTCAGGACTTAATTTGGCAAGCGAATGTAGATTCAGACATGTCTAGGTCTGTTTATCTGCTGTTATATCTTTATAGAATATTTCCAAGATTTGCACAATAAGAATCGGGCATGCTTGCATATTGACCGCTGACTCACCAGAGAACCTTCCAGAGTATTTCCCACCAGTGGAATACAATAAAAGGACATGGAATGAATGCCTGAAAGCTGTGAAATTGTCAGGAAATATAAAAGTTTGTTTGTCGTTAAGTCAGGCTCTGGAATGTACACTCTTTTTTTCACATCGCATTCAAGAGGTTTATGAGCTCAACACAGAGTATGGTATGTTCCCTGTGTTCGGATTTAATCACTACTCAGCTGTATGTGACAAAGAGATAGCAAGGTGTGTCCTCCTCAATTGCGAAAACACCCTGAAAAATTCCACTAACTTTCTTATGTTAAATCCCTTTGTAGAGTCAAGGCAGCTTCATGTGGTTGCATGTCTGCCTCCACAGACATTTTTTTTTTTTCTTCAGGTTG